CAAGCGCAGAATCCATTAGTTGTCTTCTGGATCCATGTTCCACATCATCATTGTATCGCAACCCTTACATGAATATGAAGTTCCTCTTTTTACATACACTATGCTGGTCACGTGATGAAAAGAAACAATTCAGTTCTTACAGCCATTAACCGAGCACTTTCGTGCGCCGGTCTTGATGGCTGTCTTCTGGTTGCCCATTTGGATAAAACAGCAGAATGCTGATTAGAATGTTGAGAGCGGATTCAGGCAGAAGATAGCATATTTTCTTAGACTGAAGTACAAAGAATAATGAGTAGATGCATGAGCGCCACTATTTGCGACACCCAACCATATAGCCCAGTGTAGCTAACCATCGGTGACCATCATCCCGAGGTCCCCAGCCAGGGAGCCTAATGGGACCTATATGAGCCAGTCTCCTGGTTAGGGTTTTCATACCTTCATGCCAGGTCTTAGCTTGACAGCCCTTTGTTTTTTCCAATCGCTACCAGCCTTAGCAAACATCGTTCGCCGTGGCAACCTATTTGGTCACATGCGTAGCACGTCCCAACCAGCGTAATCTATAGAGTTCGATCACTTCCTCTAGTGGACGACCGCGACTGCCTAAAACTCTACGCCTAACCTCAGCATTGCTAGTCCGGTTACCCCAAAAGACTCGTGCAATGCTGCGTAGACAGCGGTGTTCGAACACCAACAATCTATTTTTATCCTGTTCCTTTAGTGGCCAAGTCTCTGCACCGTAAAGCAGAACTGGCCGAACTGCTGCAGCATACACTCGACCCTTCACAGACAACCGGATGTCGCGACGGCGCCACAAATGTCTCAAGTTGGCAAATGCCAACCGAGCTTTCTATATGTGCGTCGACACTTCATCTGTGATGCGTCCGCCAGGTGAGATATAGCTGCCCAGATAGCAAAACTTGTCTACTCTCTGCACAACTTCCCCGGTCAGGGTGAGGCTGGGGACCGGGCCGACCCAATCTTGGAGCAGCATTTCACACTTTGAAGGTGTAAAGCGCATGCCGAACATGGCTACACTAGCACTCAAACTATCCAGAAAAGCTTGCAACTTACCTGGATCTTCACTTAGTAGCACAATGTCGTCTACATACTTTAGATCAGACAGTCTGCCACCTGGGAGTAAATCGATGCCGCTATCCCTACA